TCATAATCCAGTGGATATGGCAACACGTCAAGAGCAGTCCCACAGTCTGTAAACCAGCCAAGGATCAACAAAACATGATTGAAGCAGTAGGCCTATTAACAGGATATTTCTAAGATATCAGAGTTGTGTCTCAGTTTAACAAATGGAACTTCACTATTTTTGCACAAAATATAGAACGGACTACAGAGATTGAATACAGCATTTTTAATATCTTTAATATTGGCTGGCCGCTTGCTGCAGCTTGGAAGTTTGGATGATATGCCTGAAGCATTAATTTCATAACACATCGTTTACCTTTATTTAGTGTGGTGGTGGAGTGGGTAGCACTGTCACCTCACAGTAAGAAGGTCACTGGTTCGAACCTCAGCTGGGTCAGTTGCCGTTTCTGTCTGGAGTTTGCGTGGGTTTCCTCCAGGTGTTCCGGTTTACCCAAGAAGTCCAAAGACATGCTATGTAGGTGAATTGGGGAAGCTAAATTGTCCATAGTCTGTGTGTGTATGAATGTTTCCTATGATGGGTTTCAGCAGGAAGGGCATTCGCTGCATAAAACACATGCTGGATAAAGCATTCCGCTGTGGTGACCCCTGATTAATAAAGGGACTAAGCCGAAAAGAAAATGAATGATTTTTGTCAAATAAATACAATCTTAACATGTTTATCTAGTGCCATTAAAGTTCGTTTAGAATAAACAAGACATATTCAAATTTATTGTGTTGTTGTGTTGTTTCTCAGTGCAACAAATCACATAGAACAATGTATCTTCATCTTCATTTATTATTGTTGCCAGATCTTTTTTGAAAATAAAAAGAAAAAAAGAAAAAGCCCATAGGAAACTTAAACAGGAACACTTTATTATAGATATAAACATACCAAAATATTATCATCTGCTTAAATACTTTGTTAACTCCAAAAGCAGGATTGCTTACTGAGAAAATTAGAAAAATTGGAGGACATGGCGCTTGAAAAAAATGAAAAAGATAAAAGAACAGAAGCCACACAAACACAACGAAGGTAGAACACATTGAAAGACATTAAAAAATGTATAGAAAGGCTAGATGTCAATAAGACAATTCATGGGTCATCTGTCAGAAGCAGCTTTTATAGACCATTGTGTTGAATAAGTTAATGGGCATTGTTTTTTAAATAGTAATGTTAAGTGTATGTGTTGCAGTCATGGAAACATAAGTGCATTGCATCGACACACTATTATACTACTTCAGTTATTTACTATGGCTTGTACGGCTGTAACCAAAGCATTTCTTGTTCCTTGCTTTCAAAGTGTAAGGGACATGGTAGAGTCGGCCCATAATTATTCCAAAATGAAGCTAAAATAGCCTATATGAAGGGAGCCTATAATAAACAAAGAATGCTTTTTTCATCTGAAACCCATTTTTTCTTGTTGGTCTGAAAATACATTTATTGGCTTCTATTTTGTTTTTGTTTAATGTACAAATTATACAAATATAATAAATAAGAAAACCAAAAGTATTACTGATACTTATTAATTAAATGCAATTTAATTAGTTACTATTCAATTAGATACTTATTAACAAAAATAAAACTGGTAGTTATTAATTAAATACAATTTAATTTATTGCTATTTTATTAGATACTAAATTACTGATACGTATCGCCCTACAGTTGAAGTCGGAATTATTAGCCCCCTGAATGATTAGCCCTGTTTATTTATTCCCTTATTTCTGTTTAACAGAGAGGTTTTTTTCAACAATTTTTAAAAACATAATAGTTTTAATAACTCATTTCTAATAACTGATATATTTTATATTTGTCATGATGACAGTAAATATTTGACTAGATATTTTTCAAAACACTTTTATACAGCTTAAAGTGACATTTAAAGGCTTAACTAGGTTAATTAGGTTAACTAGGCAGGTTAGGGTAATTAGGCAAGTTATTGTATAACGATGGTTTGTTCTGTAGACTAACGTAAAGAAATATAGATTTAATGGGCTAATAATTTTGACCTTAAAATGGACTATAAAAAATTAAAAACTGGTTTTATTTTATTCATTAATTCTCTAGTCAGCTTAGTACCTTTATTAATCCATGATTGCCACAGCGGAATGAACTGCCAACCCATCTAGCAAGTTTTCATGCAGTGGATGCTCTTTCAGCCGCAACCCATCTCTGGGAAACATCCACACACACACTACGGACAACTCCACCCAATTCACCTGTGCCGCATGTCTTTGGACTGTGGGGGAAACCGGAGCACCTGGAGGAAACCCACACAAACGCAGGGAGAACATGCAAACTCCACACAGCCGAGGCTTGAACCAGCGACCCAGCGACCTTCTTGCTGTGAGGCGACAGCATTTCCTACTGCGCCACTGCTTCGCCCTACTAATTTTATTCTAGCTGAAATAAAACAAATAAGACTTCTCCAGAAGAAAAAATATTTTCAGACATACTGTGAAAATTTCCTTGCTCTGTTAGACATCATTTGGGAAATATTTAAAGAAGATTCGAAAATTCAAAGGGGGGCTAATAATTCTGACTTCAACTTTATATATATAATTGAAAAGAAATAAATTTGTTGCAATACATTTTGCATAAAATAAATATTTAAATTATCCAATAAACAATCATTTAAAAATGTATAACCATATACAAAAATATTTGACAAAAACATTATGAAAAAATAAATGGAATTAACTGGTTATGAGAGTATTAACGCATATTTATATGAAAACAAAGAGCATTTTTCTCTGCCTTTATTATACTCTGACATATAAGCGATAAACAATAATATGCAAAAAAAAAGTTAAAATAAATAAACAAGAGGTATCACTCAAAGATGAAGTATTACTTTGTTCCTTGACACAAGTTTTTATTCTCGATCACAATGTCATGTACAAGCCTAACACAAACACTGAAAACTCAAATGAAAGCATTCATCAGATTAATGGTGTATGTGCAGACTGATCCAGTGATGTGGGCTTTTAAAAGGCCTGCCTATGGCTTATGGGAATGACTGAAGTATGTTGTCAGCTGAGTGTCTTATGTAACCTGTGCTCAGCTGAATGTGTTTAGGGAGATCCACATAGGGCAGGAGGAGGCTTGTCTGTCTGTTTTGTTTCCCTTTATGAATAAGTGGCTGGAAACCGAGGGGATGCTTCACTTCTGCATATGAAGAGGCGCTTGCATAATCCAAATCTCCACTGAGGAAATGGAAGCAAATGTAAAATGACATCACAGAGCAAACACAAATGTAAAAGTATAAATAAAAAAATTAAAATGGTGGACTGCTAGGTCTGAATAATTACTAATCAGAGGCTAAATGCCTTAATAAATTAACATATATTTTGTTATTTCTGTTTAAAATAAACAAATAACCCATTAACAAATTGCATATTTTTTATTATCATTTTTGTCTTTTATTTGTTTATTGATTGTCTGATTGGTTGATTAGTTCATTGATTGATTTGTCTGTTTGTTTAATTAGGAGATATTTATTAAAACAACATTAAAAATATATTTAAGAAAGATGAATGACACTACACTATCATGTACCCTTTTATTTATTTATTTTTACACTTAAATGATATGAATAACAACATCATAAACCAAAATTATTTAATACGATAGATAGAGGCGACGCAGTGGCGCAGTAGGTAGTGCTGTCGCTTCACAGCAAGAAGGTTGCTGGTTCGAGCCTCAGCTGAGTCAGTTAGTGTTTCTGTGTGGAGTTTGCATGTTCTCCCTGCGTTTGCTGGGTTTCCTCCGGGTGCTCCTGTTTCCCCCACAGTCCAAAGACATGTGGTACAGGTGAATTGGGTAGGCTAAATTGTCCGTAGTTTATGTGCGTAAATGAGTGTGTGTGTATGTTTCCCAGAGATTTGTAGCGGCTGGAAGGGCATCCGCTGCGTAAAAAATTGCTGGATAAGTTAGCGGTTCATTCTGCTGTGGCGACCCCGGATTAATAAAGGGACTAACTAGGCCAAAAAGAAAATGAATAGATAGATAGATAGATAGATAGATAGATAGATAGATAGATAGATAGATAGATAGATAGATAGATAGATAGATAGATAGATAGATAGATAGATAGATAGATAGATACTTTGTTTTTTCTTTTATTTTAGGTTCAGCGGATATGAATGACACACTTGAACTGTATGTTAGAATTTATTACATATATATATATATATATATATATATATATATATATATATATTTATTTTAAGAGACATGAGTCATGACTTACAACAATCATTATCCCATTTAAGTATTTTTATTTAGATGAAAATATACAAATGACACAACAACATTAACATAAAGCTCATCTATCTATTTAATTTTAGATTTGTTAAAAATATATGACATCCCTATCATGGACACTCCTTATTTTTTTAGTTTAGGTTCAATGGAAATGAGTGACACAATTACCACAAATCCACAAATCATCTTTTTATTTTAGATAAACAATAGGCTATGTGAATGGCACATCACAAACACCATTTATTTTGTTTATTTAATTAGATTTAAAATAGGCTACATCGACAACACTATCGTAAACCCAATGTATATATTAGTTTTATTTATTTATTTTAAGACAAGAATGACACAACAGCACTGTTATCAGATAACCACGCATTCCTTCCTGCTCCAGAAATGTAACACCTAAAATATTTATACAGACAGTGTCAGGACACATCAGTTCTGGCTGAATGAACTGCACTGTGTTCTGCTTGCTGGAGGGCAAGAACTGGCCCAGTGTGATTAAAGTGAATAATGGTTTAGTGAAACACGGCCAATCACGCGCACTGCACATCCACACAGCACGTCTCTCTTTATGAACATCCAGATACAACACAGCTCATCTTCAAATAATGTCTGACTCCAAAGTGTCACATAATAACATCAGCCAAGTTAACTAGAGATGGCCGAGCCCTAGGATCGAGCCCCATATTTTGCTCCTCCCACAGTCGTCATCAGTGACGCAGCATAGTTAAGCGCGCGCTCTTCGGTGTTGTTTGGTACATCTCGTAAACGGCGCGTCTTTGGACTGATAAAAACAACTTTTTCCTACAGCAGAAATTATGTTCGTCATCTTTAACAGACAAAGGGAGTCGGTAAGACGTTGTATTTATTTAGTGTTTAAAATCAAAAGGGTTTTTGTTGATTAAATTTGTGTTAAAGACGTGAGGTGACTAGAAAAATCTGGTTTGTTTTGAGGCACGTTTGGGTGGTACGCGTGTTTGATAGAAGGCCACGTTTAAATCTCCGTTTGTTGTATTTATTTTGAGGTTTGTGCTACGGTTTGAATTGAACGTTAACGTTAGGTATATCAGTGAAATACGTAGTAACGTTATCATTCATGGTGATTATAAGGGGTTGTTTGGTTTATAATCGAGTATTTATATCTCTTTTTTGTTTTCACTGCACAATAAGCTGTTTTAAACCACGTTATGTCGAATTATGTCGTAAGCTTAACTAACGCGAGTTTACTTATCGTTTCCTCATTTCATTTGTAACGTTAAGTTAGACTGCGAGCTTTTGACCTATCATTAAGATGGCACATAACGCCTGAAGCAGCCGAGCTAACTAAAATCTAGTTTTCTTTCAGTTCGACACAAAAGTGAAGTCATTACGTTTTTAACTTTATGGTGGATGTCGAATAAACGGTAAAAGTTTTGTCTCGGATCGAAATACCTCTGCTACAATTGACTCTTTTAATTTCATAACTAAATATGTAATATATCTTCATAAGCAACGTTAACGTGATCTTGCTTCATCTTATGACCCGCATCCCTACTACAGACCTGTTATGAAGTGTTTATGAAGCGAAAGTTTTGAACATAAGGTTGATGCGTCACGTGTGTTTGTTTCAGCGGGTCTGGTTTAATCTGGAAACTGCAGTTCCTCCTCGCGCTCCGGGTCTCGCGCCTTCAACAAACACCAAACCCGGAAATATTAGAGCTAACTTATTGAAAGTTCAACAACTGCGTCTTTTATGTACATTATAAATTGTAGAAGATAGATTCTAATGTAAACATCTGGTATACTTAAATATGACCCAGCACCACGAAACGGCTGATGTGTTTTTTTCTCTGAAATGTGTACATTTTGTTCACTATACCTGAGCAAAGCTTAATAAATAAGCTTAACATTCACGCATGGCTTGTTAGGACTGGTCTATATTTAGCCGATATATACAAATGCAATTCTGACGGTTCCAAAAAGGAGAAAATAACTAGTTTTTAGAGATTCTCTTTCAAATGTGTCCAAATTAAGTTCTTAGCAATGCATGTTACTGAACAAATTAAGTTTAGCTTCATTTATGGTAGAAAATTTACAAAGCGTCTTCATGAAAGAAGCTCTTTCAAGGTTCTACACTTTAGAGACCCAAGAAATTGCAGGTTGATTTTAATGGGATTTTCATTTTGTAGCGTACAATTTTTTCTAGGCATGTACAAATGCATTTTTTATGATTTGGTAATTAAATTTTTCAGTAAACTGGTTAAAGTGTGCATGGACCCTGGCTGTTACAATTGAACAATGTTTTGTAAAAGAAGTTCAGTTTGTTAAAATGCAATAAAGATAGTAATGTTATATAAAATGTCCACTTTATTTTAGATTTTTCAAAATCAAACGTATACCTGTGTTAGTTTTTGTTGAGTGTAGCACGATCTTTCAGAAATCATTCTAGTATTTCTTAATAGCTGTTTTTGACTTGTCATGGTTGATTTCAGTGTTTTTTTTTTTCTTTTTCAGGCCATCATGCATAATCAAGGTGGTAGAACTTGTTTTCTTTAACCTGCTGAGTGGTATCAGACACACTGGTCGCAAGACCTGTGAAGTTTGAGTTGGTGCTACTGCATCTTCTAGAAACGCCTGCATCTTGTACCCTGCGGTGAAAGATCTACTAAAGTGCCTTTTGGCAATACCGTTCTTGTTTGGTAGGTCTGTTTCTTCAGCAGAACTGCATGTGATAGGAATCTGTAGGCCTTTCTGCAGAATTTCAGAGTTTGTCACTTCTACTTTCTCTTCTTTGAGTGGAAATCCCACAGGTTCTTCTACTGTATAGCTTATCCCCTTAGCTAAAGATTTAAATGTAGTACTTTCAACTCACTTTTTATAGATGTATTAATTAAGGGTGATAATGATATTCAAACCCATCCAAAAATTAGCAATACGCCCCCTACGGTTTGAACAGTGATCCTCTCTTAAAAACCAATGTCTTTCTCCCATCCCCCCGCCCCCTCACTGAGCCCCTGCACCACTATCTACTACCCCCACCACCACATGACAGAGAGCAAGTCTTTATTGTTAGTCATTGCTTAACAGAAATGTTTCAATGTATTTTATCTTGTTAATAAATGCATGCAGCGCAGGATTGCTTAAACACAAAACTGGATGTTTAATGAAGAACTGGAAGTTCGAAAGAGAACTCGTCACAAGCAGATTTGTTAGTATAGTTGGTAACTCAGTGATTCTCTTTAGCCATAGCAGTGGTGGAGAAAAACTCCACTCATCATTTGAAGAGTGCGTTTCATCTTTGCTGGTATTTGCTGGTCTTATGTTTGGAAAGGCCATCTTGGTTCATATTTACATGGATAGTAAAAGTGAAAAAGACAGCAGCTATTTATACCGCTAATAATCATAGTAAAGAAAGATGAAGAAATAGTGTATTTCAGTAAGAACATGAACCCTAAATTGAACATTCCAAATTAACCAGTTACCAAATTTACGTTGTCTTTGACTATTCTGCTTTGGAGATTAAATTTGTTTACCCAGATCAGCTTATTGCATTAATCAGGAACATGTACAGTTAGTGTATGAAGCTAAAGTTTGTTTAATTATTCATTACTGTTAATAATTTATTATTATTATTATTAATTATAGAAATTATTCACAAATTCATGTGATCAAAAAATAGCAATTATAAGTAAAGCAGCAGTTCTCATATTTCTTTGTTTGCCTCTGTCATGACTTGATAGATCCAACAAAATGACTCCCAACGGATATCTAATATTTGAAGATGAGAGCTTCCTGGATTCTACTGTGGCCAAGATGAATGCCTTGCGAAAAAGTGGCCAGTTTTGTGATGTCAGGCTGCTGGTGAGACCACCTTTGTTTAAACACCGTAAACATGCCAATCTATAAACCCATTCTGTACTAGTTTTCACATGCTGTGTTTTTGTTGTAATACAGAGTAAGATTATATTGTGAAATGTTAATAATAGTTTAAGTTGAATGTTAAAATGTAGTTTTGTTTCAATGATCAAACTTTCAAACTTCAATGATCTTTCAGAAATAATCTAATTTCTTGCTCAATACACGATTGCCAATTTTGAAAACAGTTTTTTTTTCATGATTATTTAATGAAAAGTTCTATAAAAAAAGTATTTAATGAAACGAATTGTGCCTATAAACATTACATCAGTGTAATGCATCCGTGCTGTATTAAAAATAATTAACTCAATCTCTTTCCTCTGCAGGTCTGTGGACATGAGCTGATGGCTCATAAGGCTGTGTTGGCCTGCTGCAGCCCTTACCTGTTTGAAATCTTCAATGCTGACACCGAGCCACAGGGTGGAGTTTCGCTGGTTAAATTCGATGACCTCAACCCTGATGCTGTGGAGGTCTTGCTCAACTATGCCTACACAGCCCAGTACATGCATTTTTATTCCATTTAAATTATACATTACATGATGATCTTGTCAAGAACAAGCATGTTTTATAAGTTCCCATATTATTCTGTTGACAGATTGAAGGCTGATAAAAGTCTGGTCAGTGATGTGTATTCTGCTGCAAAGAAGCTCAAATTGGAAAGAGTTAAACAGGTGTGTAAAGACATTTATATGCTCCCATGTATGCATGCACATCCACAGTTCCTAAGGATGGTACAATACACAAAATTGTCAGTTCAGTTTATATCTTGGTTCTGTGGTCACGGTTTTGTTTGATTTGTTTTACATTGTTTAAAAAATTGTCTTTCCACATTTAAATGTCATTACGGAATGTCATACATCAGCTTAAATTACTTTATTATTGTTACTATTATTCTTTTTATTATCATCTACCATTTACAGTAATAAAAGTTATTTTCAAGCTCTTGTTTTCTAATTTCAGTTTTGAAGCTATAATTTAGTATTTTCTTGTTGATTAATTGTAATGACCACAGCGCAGTTATTTGCTACCATCATTTTAAATTAAATTATTTTAGGATTGTGTACTTTTACTTTAGGCTCACTAAAAACTTTACTGACTGTTAAATGTGGATATTCTGATATGCATTCCGCCAGTATTTTGCAACAAAACATTCAACATGTTGAATTAAAATAAACTATTCTATGCTGAGAGGGAGAAGTGCATAAGTGTTGTTTCTGCTGCGTTTAGCGCTGGAATCTTAAAACTGATATAATCTGAGGCCTATAAATTAGCAGCAGAAACTAAAATAGACAGTGTAAACTCTGAAGTAATGAACTTCAACCATGATGGGACAAAAGTTTGTGATTTCAGGTCCAACAACACCAATGTCATGTTAATAAATAGCCAAACTGCAAGATTTATATAAATATTTGAAAACTCTAGCTGAATGAACCATGTTTATCCCAGATAATTTGGCTTAACACCAAAATAACAATAGTCTGGTTTTAAAAGAGTATTTGTGAATCGTTTTCATCACTTGTATGCATATAACTGCTCTCTGGGTCAAACGCACATCTGTCTGTCTGTGTGCTGTAGTTGTACTTGTCAAAGTTTTAATAAACATGGATGAAAAGTGAATCATCATTTAAGCAATAAGATTGCAATTGTTTGGTGATTAATGGCACCACTCCAAATAGTTCTCTGATCTTCTGAATTTTTGTAGATTTGTGGAGAATACCTGTTATCCAAAATGGACTCCCAAAGTGCCATATCATACCGCAACTTTGCTAGTAGCATGGCTGATGGGCGGCTTCTGGGCAAGATCGACGGCTATATCCAGGACCATCTTCATGAGATTTCAGAGCAGGATGACTTTCTTAAACTTCCACGTCTGAAAGTATGTAAAATAATGATTTTCTATAAATACAGTTGATTCAATAAAACATTTCTGCTCTTTATAATGCCATATATTACTCCCTGTAGCTGGAGGTTATGCTGGAGGACAACCTGAACTTGCCAGGTAATGGCAAACTGTACTCAAAGGTGATAAGCTGGGTGCAGCGCAGCCTTTGGAAGAATGGAGATCCTTTGGAGAAACTGATGGAAGAGGTCAGTATTACAGATTTGTCTTTTCCCTTTTCTTTCACTTGCTCAAGTCTCCTGAATTCCTGTTCAAAGTTTGAGCTCCCCCTTTCCCCTGTCCTCAGAGTTTTGCCCTTAACCTTGTAAATTTTGCAGTACGCGCTCCTCAAAATACTGAAAACTGATCTGTTTTCCAGGTGAGCCCAGTGAACATTCAGAAGCGTTGAGTCTGTTTTTCCCCCTGTTCTCTTTTCCCTCACTGCATTGACTTGAATTGTCACGTAACTCAATTTTCTCCACAGTGGGACTGTTATGAAGTTATTAACTTGATTCTAATGGCTGCTCCTCCCCATTGATCTCCCTGTCTCTTCTGTAGGTTTTAGTAATGCACATCAACAGCAGATTTGTCCAGCCCTGAAGAAGAACGCAAGATCCCAGCCATCAATGGTAATGCTAAGTCAACCTGCCAAACGCCATGAGCTCCCATCTGTGCAGTGTTCCAGAGAGCATTGCAGCTTTTTTTTCCAATCCCACTGTGCAGCGATCATTTGTTTAGATGGCTCTTTGACCCAAAGCAGACTTGCTTTATATTAGGAATGATCTCTTTCCAGCGGTTTCCACAATTACCGTGACCGTAGATATGTGTAAGGTCAAAGCTTCCTCAAGGTCCAGCCAGCTCACAGTTTTAAAGGACATCCCTCATAGCAGCTGACTCCCCTGCTTCAAGGACCAAGGCAGAACATTGCTTTGTTCTTGTTATGGAAACACCCACATGGGTCTTGTTGGTGTTTGTTGTTGCAGGTGCAAACGCTGTACTACTCAGCTGATCACAAATTGCATGATGGGAGTTTGCTTGAGGGGCAGGCAGAGGTCTGCAGCACTGAGGATGACCACATCCAGTTTGTGCAGGTACATGACTGGTTTACAGTCTTTCCCTTACAGGGTGCTGCGTTCTCTGTTGTAAAATAGCATGGCTGCCATTTGAATAGGCTTTAGGTGGTTTGCACTATAAAGAAGATGGCCAGCTGGGTTTGCACTGTGAAAGACCTTTTTAAATGGTGCTGTTGGCACTGGATGGAATTGGTTTAGTCTTTGGCCCCGGGGTCTGTTTGCATGCAGTAGAGGTGTAGGGGGTGAAGTTTGGGCAGGTTTAGAGCCACCTGGTTTGGTTTTGCAGAAGAAGCCGCCTCGAGAGAGGGACGAAATGGGCTCTGGTGCATCTGGCAGCATCTCTCCCTCCAACAGCCAGTTCAACAAGCATGAATGGAAGTACATTGCTTCAGAGAAGACCACCAGTAAGTGTGAATTGCTTATAGATTTTGTTTCTTAAGCTTGTGAATGCCAGGAAATTCCATAGCTATTTATACAGGGTTCCTCAGGTCATGTTTTCCTGTATCAGGATATTAAAGTTTTATAAATATGACTATAACAGTCATAATTCTGCAGTGGATTTTAAGTAATGTGACTGCTAAACCTTGTAATCTAATTTAGATATCAGTTAATTACCATTGCTGATGAAGAAGATTAATAATAATAATAATAATTGCATGTTTTTTTTTTTTGTTTTTTTTTCAAACTGCTAATTTGTAGTTGCATATTTGACCAGATTTTTAAAATGCTTAACATTTTCCATGCCAAGGAAAACTTTTTAGTTTTGGTACAATCATTTTCATCTTAACGTAAAAGGAGTTCATTTCTTGCAGTTCTTTTCAAAACTGGGTGCCTTTTTCCAGGCAATTCATACCTGTGTCTGGCTGTTCTGAGAGGTCTACTGTGTGTGATCTCCCTGCACGGCCGCACCAGTCCTCATAATTCTCCGTCTGCTACACCCTGTGTGCTGAAGAGCCCAAACTTTGAGGCTCAACTGGAAGATCTGCAGGAGAAACTGTTGAAACCTATGCATTATGCCCGTTCTGGACTGGGAACCGCTGAACTGGACTGCAAGCTTATTGCTGCAGGTATGCATGACCAGAAATTGGTAAAATTGTCCTTAAAGGGAGAGTTCAACCAAAAATTTTTAAAATATACTTGATGTAAACATGCCACCATCAAGTGGTCATAAACCTTAAGGAACTACAAAAGAAGATATTTTGGAAATGGGTAACCATTAGGTTTGATACAATACTCTTTATTTATTTTTTTAATAAAAGAAAAATGCAAACAGGTTTGGAACAAGTAGAGGGCGAGTAATTTATAAATATAGATGTCTTTTTGAGAGTACATATCATGTAACTGTAAGATTGATGGCTGTACTATCCACCTTACTCACTGTAGCTTTGTATGACTTTTGTATGTTTAGTATTAATATGAATTTTTTGTGATGCCGCTTTAGAATAATAATTATTGTGAAAAGCACTATTCAAATAAACTGGAATCTAAATTCATTAAATGGTGACCACATTTGACTTCTTTTTTTTGTTTGAACTATCCCATTAAATAAAAATGGTGGCATAAATTTATTTGTAGTTAGGAGTTTTCCCCTTGAGCATAGTTTAGAACATGCAAAGATGCCATTGTGTGCTTTGTTATGCCATTCATGCAAATGTGACTAATTGTTGATAGTGGTGAAACTAGAGGAGATGCAAAATGAAATGACCTCAAATTATCAGTAATGTCATGGATGAAAACAGGAGTTGGGTTTTTGTATATCTAATACATGCATAATCTGTCCAGGAGGTTACAACAGAGAAGAGTGCTTGAGAACTGTGGAGTGTTATGACCCAAAGAAGGACTGCTGGACTTTCATTGCTCCGATGCGCACTCCACGTGCTCGCTTCCAGATGGCTGTGCTAATGGTAAAGATGCTGTTTCCAGTCCAAAATAAACTTTGCTGCATCTCTCATTAGAGCTAAATGAATATTTTTCTCTCAGGGGGAGGTGTATGTGATGGGTGGCTCCAATGGTCACTCAGATGAGCTGAGCTGTGGAGAAATGTATAACCCCAGAGCTGATGAGTGGATTCAAGTCCCTGAGCTCCGCACCAATCGCTGCAATGCAGGTATGAATCCCTTCCTGCTGGAATTTTTATTTGTTTGTTTTAAAGCAAAGTTTGATTTAATTTCTGACTTTTGGAGAGCCTTTTATTATAATTGTTTAACATTTGCTACTGCTGTATTTTTAAATGACTTTGTCTAAGAAATTTGGTTTTCTGATCCAAAACACAAATTAGTCTCTTTGGAATTGATAAACAGAAGATGGCACTCTAGGCTAGTTTTGTATTGTATGCTCAATGCTCATGAAATAGAGTTATTGTGCATTGGATTCTTGTGCGTGGCCCAATGTTTTTGCACCTTGGCATTTAAAGCCACAAACTGTTTACATTGAAAACCTAACTTTGAATCAATTTCACAGATCTCTTTGCTTAAATGTTCTGTTCAGGCCAGTCTGCATAGATGAGGGTTAATTTTGCTTAGTTAAAATAACAACACTTTTTGGAATGTAATGTAATCCATCTGGTAATGCAGCTATAATAAAAGTGTCAATACAGACAATGCAAATGAATTTTTTTATTGGGCATGATTAAAACTTCTGTAAGCTGGTTGAACAGAAGTGTTTATGTAGTGTCCACTTTCATATCGGAGTGATATAAACCCAACAAATTTTTTATTATTATATTTATTGTTGTTGTTGTCATTATTATTGTAGTTTCCAGTAAAAATTAAATCTAAACCTCAGGGATTGACGCCCAACTGAACTTAACTGCTATAATCACCACAGCCGTGATTAACGTGTGTGTGTGTGTGTGTGTGTGTTGCAAATGGCAATTGTGTGTGACTCATCATTTCAGAAAGGCTTGAATAAACTTCACCACAAATGTATTAGCTTTATTTTTGACCAAGCTGTTTTTCAGCTTTATCCGAGTCTGTCACTGACTGCTATTTATCTGATGTAACTCATGATAAGAAGCAGACACATGTCAGAGCGGTGGGCAGGGAGAAGCAGCTCATTTGGATTTAAAGCCATGGGCTACAAAAAATGACTACAGTGTATTTAGACACCAAAATGGGCAAAATAGAGAGGCTATAATAATCTAATAGGTATATATATGGCTGAAATTTTTGACACGTTCACAGGCTACTGACAAATAGCCTGCCATGGAGAAACTGGTAGCTAGACAACAGAGTGGCAATGTAGCCCAGGGAAACATAGTGTGCAAATGGAGATCTAGGTAGTGTAGTATGTGAAAGGAATTAGAAGCAAGCAGAGTGGGTTTTTTTGTGTAGCATACGGTGCCATCTGCTGGTTAAAAACTAAGCTCAGAGTATGACAATGCATTCGTAAAATCTCAGAATAAATGCAGAAATTATCTCAATTTTTATTTCTGCTGCAGCAGTAATAGATGTTGCTAATGTAATTGCTAGCTAATATATTGAGACTGGATCGTGTCTGACGGATGACATTATATAATAGTTGGGAAATGCAGAACAGGAGGTGTTTCCTATTTGTTGGGTAATCCTTTATCATGTTTCTTCTCAGGTGTGTGTTCTTTACAAAACAAGCTCTTCGTAGTTGGAGGATCTGATCCCTGTGGACAGAAGGGCTTGAAGAATTGTGACTCCTTTGACCCTGTGACAAAAATGTGGACCAGCTGTGCACCCCTCAACATCAGTATGTCAGCTCCCCTTTTGTTGTTTTTATATATATATAAATACATACACACACGTGTGTGTGTGTGTGTGTGTGTGTGTGTGTGTGTGTGTGTGTATATATGTATGTGTGTGTGTGTGTGTGTGTGTGTGTGTGTATGTATATATATATATATATATATATATATATATATATATATATATATATATATATATATATATATATATATATATATATAATTTTTTTTTTTTTTTATTATTATTAAACCATGACTGTTTACTGTTTCTTACCCATATTTAGAGAGACACCAGGCAGCAGTGTGCGAGCTGAGTGGGTACATGTATGTGATTGGTGGTGCTGAGTCCTGGAACTGCTTGAACTCAGTGGAACGCTACAACCCAGAAAACAACACTTGGACCTTGGTGGCCTCCATGAATGTGGCTCGTCGTGGAGCTGGTGTGGCTGTCTATGAAGGTAAAATAGTTTTTTTTTTGCAGGTCTTGCATGTAGGAAAGTAGTGATGTAAGCCTGTCAAATTCAGGGCTTTCCCTTTAAGCCATTTCCAACTGCTTTCAGGAAAGCTCTTTGTGGTTGGAGGATTTGATGGCTCTCACGCTCTGCGCTGTGTGGAGGTTTATGATCCAGCCACGAACGAGTGGAGGATGCTGGGAAGCATGACATCAGCACGGAGTAATGCAGGTTTGGCGGTGTTGAACAACGTGTTGTGTGCTGTCGGGGGATTTGATGGCAATGAGTTCCTTAACTCAATGGAGGTGTATAATCTAGAGAAGAACGAGTGGAGCCCATTTATAGAGGCGTTGGGTAAAAACTGAATGGTGCCAGGATCTGGTCTTTCCTTAAACAGAAGAACAGCAGTCACATTATGAGTCAGTCTTAGAACTGTGGACACGGAACTCAAAGATGCTCATAGCGTTGCCCAAAGCAACATGAAGCCTTTGCATATTGCATAATTACCATGTATATAGATTTTTCTTTCTCTCTCTCTCTTTTATTTGTTATTTCTCTGTGAAAGCCAGTACTTGAATAGATGTTTGGAGATGGTAAGCTTATTGACATGAACAAGTAGATTGTCACAGTCTAAACTGTGGCTAAAATTCATGACTTTCTGCATTTGCTGCTTGATGTCAGCTCACTCATGATGACCAATTTAATGCCTTGCTTATTGAAGATGAGATTAATATCTGTATAGTTAAGTCTTAGATCATGAAATACTTAAGGCTCTTTTTAAGTCATAATGCTTCAATGGGATTGTAATTTTTTTGCATTTTTATAGCATTTTTATACAACTTTATGTAAGTCTGATATGTAATCTTGACAAGCATTCTTTTCAGTCAAATCAAATCTGTGCTACAGGCTTGTTTTTACATTTTTATCTAGGTCTGCTTTATGCTAAAGACGCCAGCGATGATGATGCCACTTTTAACATCGAATAATGTCTCCTCATTCAAGACTTTCTTAAACCCGATATGTTTTTTTTTTTTTCTTATTTTGGTTCAAAAAAGGTGAAGAATTTAATAAACTATTGTGACTTTGAGTGGATTGACTAAACTTTTTTTTAATCATTCCTGAAAGTGCCATTTTCCCTTGCTTTTAAGCAATTTCATTGGTTTGATTGCATAGGGAAAGAATTTCTTAGTCAAATGTGTGAAGCTGAATTTGGTATCATAATGTCACAATCATTTGGATTCAGATTACATGCTGTATTAAAAGGATTAAGCATTACTGTTGGTAGTAGAGAGAGCCGTGACAGTGAAATTAGTGTAAAACATTTACTTGCCAGTTCAATCTTGACAGGTCTGTTTTAATGGCCCATTCATTAAAATTGAGTGCTGTGTTAGTTGGTCAATCTGGGAATTTCCTTGGTCAATCTGGGAATTTCCTATCATATATATATATATATATATATATATATATATATATATATATATATATATATATATATATATATATATATATATATATATATATATACACACACACAATATATTTTAATGAGATTATTATGGTACAAATAACAAAATACTTTGATCTTAAATAACAAAGAAAACTTTCAGGCTTCATATAAATTTGAACTGATATTTCTCTTCCTTTTAAAAAGCTTCAACCCCCCGGTCATATTGAATACCTCAGTACAACACTGCTTTGGTAAAAGTGCAGAGCCACAGGATGAGGTGACTCATAAAAACCACACAGTATTACCATAGCACAGTACTGCTTTTTAGTCAGCCCATAGTTAAAAAGCCCATTTCCCCCTGTTTTATTAATGTAACCTGTATTTTTTAATCCGAAGTTACAATGTGTGTTCGAAATAACAAAAAGCAAATATAACGGCATGCTAAATCCTTTTAATGCCATTTAGTTTTGCCTGAGAAGGAGATTATATAAGAGCATTGCCATTTTTCATACTTGTGGTCTCTTATGTAAGACGGGCAGTGCTTGTGAGCACAGGTTTAAAAAAAAAAAAAAAAAACGGCACAACAGTGAAAAACTTTGCATTTGCTGATACTATTTTGGGGCTCAATTAGGATCCTGGCAAGTAGCCTAAATACAGGTGTGTCATAAAAAGGATGTGACGTGGTTTTTTTAAGCCCACAAAATCAGACTCTAGAAGAGGTGGGATGTTATTGATTTACTTCCGATCTCTTTAACAGGCTTTGAAGGCATTTTCAGTTCATGCTGTTCCAGTCTAAACCACATTTTATTTTTTTTGTAGATAACACGTTTAAAAAAAGCCTAAAGTATTAACTAAAGTTCGCAAAGAGTCCCTTTCAGTTAATGTTTTTTTTTACTTATGCTGCATTGAACATCGCATACCTCTTTAAGAATGTCACAGAATTTGACATGAATTTCTGAACGATAGCTCTTGTGTAGCACTGTACATGATCAAATTGTGGTAAGAACTGGCATCTGTGAATGTTACATTGCAAAAAGATTATTTAAATGTACAGTCTACATGTTCTGTCAATGAATTATGCATTTTATTACTTTCTCTAGTCCAGCATATGTGGTGCTCATGTTTTCAGCATCTGCTGTCTCGCTCTGTTAAGACATGAACATATAATCTTTGTTTCGAGAGCTCCTCTGAGAATCACTTCATGAGCACTTTACCATTTTGAAAAACTATTTAGTATATGGACCCTCGCTTTCTTGAAAAGCCACCAAATTCTCTTGGCAACCTTTCCGGACAATGGCCACCATGGGAAATGCATTCAAGTGAATCAGATATTGCCTCTCAGGTAGATCATTCAAGGGTGTCTTGGAGAGGTGAATTATCTGAGCTGTAAAATCTTGCTACTGGGCTGCCCTACGGCTCTGTTCTAGGACTGCTTTTCTATCCATCACATCATTTGTCATTCAGAAAAATGGCTTTTCCTAGCATACTTTTTCCTACCATAACTACTATGGTACAATTCTACTTCTCATTTCAGCAGGACGACCCAATGAGTGCTTCACAAATATCGGCAAGTCAGACAGATATCACTGGCTGAAGGAAGGACCGTCACCTTCCAGTCGACCTTTCCAAAACTGAACTGCTGATAAACCTGGACTCCCCAACACTCGTCCACAACTTCACCATACAGCTGGGCACCTCAACCATAACTCACTTGCTGCATCCCAATTTGCATTTTTTCTTCACAAAAATAAATGCATCCTTTTAAACACACATTTTACTGGACTGTCCAGCTTTTAATGATTCCATAAGACTTTTTTTTTTTTTAGTGAAGTTTATGTATAAACAAATTTCGAGAGGATCACGTGCTTATGATTGCTAGCAGCTGACCCGCATTATCTAATTCACTACGATCCAATCAGATGACTCCTAAACTACTATAAATACCCTGGGGTTTATTCCATTGCTATCTTCGTTTTGAAGAGTCCCCCCTTCCTCCCCTACTCCTCCTTCTTAGACGGGTGACACGGTGGCCCAGTGCCTAGCACTGTCGCCTCACAGCAAGAATGTCTTTGGTTCCTGGCTTTACCAAAACTAGCAGACATTTCAGTGTGGAGTTTGCACTTCTCCCCGTGCTCACGTGGGTTTCCCCCGGGTTCCCCGGTTTCCTCCCACTGCCTAAAAAACATGCAATTAAGTCAATTGAACAATCCAAATTGTCAACATAGACACGCTTCTAGTTAGTAATTAATTTTAAGAGCATTCACTTGCTACAGCAGGGGAGTTCTCGAGATCTACCTGAGCTCAAACTCCCCTCCCGCCTTGCAACGGGAGGGAGCCCTGGGCTCGAGGATCTCATGAGCTCAGGGCTCTCTCCCGGGACAGCATGCCAAACAAGCTTTTATAATTAATCATCAGCTAAATGTGAACTCTTGAAATGAAATGAACAATCTTAGGGACATTTTTAGCAAAGTGATACTAGAAATAGTTTTTTTTTAAATTATGTATTAACACTAAAAATCCTATTTAACTTGTGTATTCATTTGTTTGTTGTTCTTAACTGTTTATTTATTATTGAAATGTTCTTGCCATGAAAATAACCTTGGTTGCTGACATGGCAGTAAATAAAAAAATACATTACAGTACATCCTTTTAGGGAAATAGTATAAGTATGTAATTTGGGAACTTTCAGGATTGTCAGGAACCGAGGAGTGTTTCTTGACCAGAATTTACTTGCCACTTTGCTGCAATCAGGCAGATTTGCTCTACATAACATCAAGTAGATCTGACTTTTTCTATCTAATCATGTTGCTCAACTACCGGCTCTTGTCATGTCCATGTTGGACTGTTGTAATGCTCTCTTTGCTGGCCTCTGCAGCTAATCCAGAACGCAGCAACAAGAGTATTCTTCAAGGAACCAAAAGGCTGCATTACACCTCTATTTATGTCTACACTGGTTGCCAGTCGCCACTCAAAAAATTCTAGTGCTTGGTCATTTTCCTACAAAACAACCACTTGCTATGAACCCCTTTATCCTAATCCTTGACTTCAGACTTTGAATGCTGTGTTGTGGTTTCATCCCATAGAGGCACAAATCGAGGATTCTCACCTTTTAAAGTCACATTCTGTTGTAATGACCTGCCTAACTCAAGACTCTGGTCATTTTTAAGAAAGGTCTGAAGATGCCTTTATATATCACTGCTCTTTGGTGACCTGCCTTAAGTGCTTCCATTATCCTCATTTGTACCTCATATTGGATACGTCTCTGCTAAATGACTAAATATAAATCCCATCAAAAAAGGCACAGGCAATGTGGTTACTCTAATCATTTGTCATTAAGTCATTTGGACAGGACACTTGCACATAAATGCAAATGCATTGACCGTAACTATCCTTGGAGCCATGACTATGCAGATCCACCCACAAGCAGAGCTATTTGAGGACAGACTTGTGTTGTTACCAATAACTACATTTGCTAGGAAATCAGAGAAACTACCTACATCACTGGCAGCCCTGATTTACGAAAGCATTGGCTTACATTTCCAGAGTTCTCCTGAAATGTGAGTGAATGATTAGATAATTCACTTACGTTTTAATGAATAATGCAGTGAGCAAGTTTAATATTAAGACGTTTACATGCCCACACTGCCAGAACTTGAACAACAGGCTAGGAGGGGAGAGAAAAAGGACGAGGCATTGTAATTTTGGTATCACCCATGTGCAACTCTTGTTTATATATTTGACACAGAATGTGTTCACGTAAACATGCACATACTGGAAGCATTGACTATTAATGAGTCTTGTTGTTGTCACAATCTTGTGGATGAACCACATGCCCTTATGCTATTTCGGATGTCGGCAAAGATCAAAGTACACACTAAATTTAGTTGTTTTTAAAAGATGTAATGCCTGAAAAAGGTTTTCACCAATTAGTCTTCTGGCACAAGCCTTATTTCTGTTTTTAATGTGTAAAATGTGATCCTATGGTCTTCATTGGCTGTCTGCAATAGTCATTGGCTCTGAACTAGAAACAATGCAGCAGACTCCAAGTCGTCCTCTGAATTTTTTTAATTGGGCAGGATTTCTGGAAGACATGTCATGTTCCTCAATGATCAAAGCTGTCTAAACAATTAGGTAAGATCTCATGCTTATATTAAAGGCAATTAATGATTTCGATTAGGTTAAAACTGTATTCTTAAAAGTAGTTTTGCTCTTTGCATCTCAATATTTCACAATGCTCGTCAGTTACGACAGGTTAGATCTTCTAGTCCCCCCATTGAATCAGTCAAAGGCAGACAGAGAGGGAGCATGTCCACAAGAGGTTGAACCAAATCGGCCCCTAAGTAAAGTGATCAACACTAGAACCACTTTCAAAATAATATCTAAATAAGCAATTATAGTCAATCTCTTAATGAGTAATTCAGTAGGTCATGTAGCACGGCTCACAGTCCCAGAAGAGGATTTATTGCTCTGTGTGGTCTCAGTTCAGATGAATCCTCTTTGCTCGACAGTATATCCATATCCCATGGGCAAAAAAGTCCTTCTGGGACTCGTTACTAAGTGTGCAGACTGTCCAGAGAGCAGAAGAAAAGAACATTTGCTCTAATGGACACTCGTTTTAGTATTTAAAACGACACAATAGG